TCCAGTGCTCCTTAGAAAGGTTCGCAGCCGAGTGCGACGTGACCGGCATGCGTGTGAACGCATCCAAAACATAAAGCCTAGTGCTTTCTCGTTCTCCTACCCGTTGCTCGCTTCAGATTATCGGAGAGACAGTTTAACAAGCGGAGAAGTTCAAATATCTAGGAATCGTGTTCACTGGTGAAGGAAAGTTTGAGGAAGAAATCGGCCGGCGAACTGGAGTAGCTGCGTGACCTAACCCGATCCACCGTTAGCAGAGATCAGCCTGAAGACTAAGCTCTCGATATTCAAGTCGATCTGCATTCACATGCTTACCTGTGGTCATGAGTAGTAGACCACGAATGGAAAGCTTCGAATGGGGGGTAGAAGCTGCTGAAATGGGCTTTCTGAGTCGAGTTAGTGAGCTTACGCGACTCGACAAGGAATAGAGATATCCGGGAGAGCCTTGGTGTACCGCCTTTGCTTGTCCAGATTTGGAAGTGACACCAGCGATAGTCTGGGTATGTGTTGCAAATGCCTCCAAAAGGAAAGCCAAGCAACTGTTTCTTGCGAAACCGACCGGCGGATGGCCCTGGGGACGGCAAGATTAACCTTGTGCAAATATATGGAAAGAGTCTGTTTAAGACTCTAGTTGTCCTCTGCCGAAGTTCAGACTCTGGCGCAGAATCGGGAACGTTGGAAGCACTTTCCGATTCGTGTGCTTCCACGACCCGAAAGGAGAAACGGCCATGGAAGATAAAGATATATATGTCCATGCCAAGGTTATCTGACTGGATGTTTGCAGTCAATGGGCAGGTACATATTACCACTCAGGCCCATGTGTCATCTGCCAGTTACGCAGTATGATGAGATCAACGACTTAATGCCTTCTGGTATCTAGTTCATCTGTGTTGCATGGTAATATCCTGACTGATGCTGGTAGTATTTCGAATCTCACGTAAGAAACTCGCTGGCTGGAAAGGAGTTATGCTTAACTGCTTTGTACAGCAGAGAGAGCTAACTTTTCCGATTTCTACATCTACCAAGATTGCCTTGCAGAGAAGCAGATTCATTACATACGTAGTACAGCGGTGCCATTTAACGATCATTATGCGTTGAAGTCAGCGCTGTACGAGCTTTAACTGTCGCTCTTGGTCCTTTGTTCGAACAACGATCGATTTGTCGTACAACAGTGCTGAACAAACCAAGGAAACGCACAAGACATTTGCAGAAGGGGAAAGATGTTGGAACCCAACAACCGGACAGAATATCGAAGGCACTGGAAGCATGTACAATTCTCCATTTTACTGCGGGTGGATGTGCCTTCGTTCAAAATGATCAAAGTGAAGTGTTCAA